GATCCAAGGGAGATGGTTGGCAATTACAATTTTTCTCCATCTATCATGATGTGTCCTATTGGCCCAGTGATGAGGATTTTTGTTTTCTTGATGCTAAGATGTAATCCATATTGAAAGCTGTAGTCTTTGATTTTCTGCAGAAAGTGCTTCATGTTCTCCACAGTTTTAGCAAGCAAGGTTATGTCATCTGCATAATGAAGGTTGTTGATGAGTCTTCCTCTGCTCCTGATGCCACATTCTTCTTCACAGAGTCCAGCTTCTTGAATGATACAGATTGAACAGGTCTGAAGAAAAGATACAACCTTGATGCATACCTTTCCCATTTTAAACCATGTAGTGTTCCCTTGCTCTGTTCATACAACAGCTTCTTGATCTAGATATTGCATGAGCACAATTAAGTGTTCTGAATGCCCATTCTTCTTGATGTTACTCATAATTTGTTATGAGCCATACAGTCAAATGTCTTTGCATAGTCAGTAAAGCACAAATAGACCTTCTTCTAGTATTCTCTGTTTTCAGTCAGGACCCTTAATTATACTTGACAATATATGTATCTATAAATCTTCCTGATATAGTTCAGTATCAACCAATTATTTCTGGTACAGTGAATCTGTGTTCTGCATATTCTCTCCATCTTTGGTACTTCCTGGATCAGTTGAGATGCTGCCAATAGCATCTTTCAGTATTGCAACTCGAGGCCTGAATTTGTTTTTTAGTTCTTTTAGCTTGACAAATTCCAAGTGTGCTCTTCCCTTTTTTACTTCCCAACTCCAGATCTCTGCACACTGTGTTTTAATACTGTGTTTTCTCAAGCTGCCCTTTGAAATCTTCTGTTCAGCTCTAGTACTTCAGTATTTCTTCCCTGTGTTTTGGCTTCTCAACGGTCTAGTGTAATTTTCAGAGTCTCTTCTGACATCCATTTGGTTTTCTTTCTACTCTGTCTTGTAATTGTCTTTAGCTCCCCCATGGATGATCATCTGAAAATCAGATCATTTGATTTCTGGCCTCATTCCTTTCACCAAGTCCATACTTTCCGACTACCATTCCTTCTTCATTGTTCTCACCTTTTGCATCCCGCTCACTAATTATTATTAATGCATCTTGATTGCACATTTGGTTAATTTTGGACTGCAAAATTTGGCAAAAAGCCTCAATTTCCTCTTCTTTGGCTTTAGCTATTGGTGTACATATTTGAATAATAATTGTATTAACAAATAGTCCTTGCATGCGTATGGATAGTACCCATACTATATGGATAGTACTCACAACATTGTACTTCTAGATAGAACTTGAAATTGTCTTTTTAACTATGCATGCAATACCATTCTTCCTCCATTTTTTATTCCTGGCATAGTCGATCATGTGATTAACTGATCTAGAGTAGCCAATGTCCGTCCATTTCATCTCACTAATGCTTAGATCGTTCTCTATTGCATTCTGTTTCCTTTTTGACAACTTCTTTTTGTTGATCAGTACCATCGAGTCAGAACTGACCCGTTGCTGACCCTTCCAGCAGGTTTTCAGAGACATTAAATCGCACAGGAGGAGAGTGCCCATTTTTTTCCCCATGGAGCAGCTGGTGGATTTGAATCACATGCCTTTGGTTTGGCTGTGCAAATGCTAGTCTTCCTATATTCATACTTTGTGCATTCTAGGGGTTAGGACACTAAGATTTCTCCCTGGTCCCCAGTACTTACATGTAACATTAAAATTATCAAAAACCACAATGTTACATTCTTTTTTAGATAATTTTATAAAAGTTTGCTAATGAGAGTTCATGGTTTGATCCAGAGGCAGTAACTGCTAACAAAACCGACTCTGATGTTCTTTAGCTTATGTTTGAAATCCCACCAATGCTGTCAGTTTGATGTACTGCTGTGGCTTGAGTGTTGCTGTGACACAGGAAGCTATGCATCTCTCGTATTTCAAATTCTAGCAGGATCACCCATGGCAGACAGGTTTCAATGGGGCTTCCACATTAGGACAGACTAAGAACCAGGGCTGGCAAGCCGCATCTGAAATCGTTGACCCATGAAGACACTATGGATAACTGGATCTGGAGTTCTTCCTTGGTCACTGTCAGTCTGTGTAACATGTTGTTGGTAGTCGGGGTGTAATGTGCTAGCAAGTTGAAATGAACTCATAGCTGACCCTCCAGCAGGTTTTCAAACTCTGTAAACCACATAGGAGGAGACTGTTCATCTTTCTCCTACAGAAAACCTGGTAGATCCAAATTTTCTGCCTTTGGGTTTACAGCTCAACTCTTTACCCATGATGCCACCAGAACATAACATAGGACTTCCTTTTCCAAGAAATATGTTGCTTTGTTTTCTCTCTTATCTTTAACACTAATACATTTCTTTTTAGCTTAACCAATAAAATTATTTTTATATGTTATTTTTGGAGTTATTAAACTATTACTGCTTATCTGTCCCAATGAACTTGAGACGATTCCAACTCATTACAATCTTCATGGGTTCCCATGTTTTAAGATATCTGTGTATTTTATGTACAAAAGAATATTTGTTTGAATTCCCACCCCACCTCTTCATTTAGAATTCTATCATGTGATCTCTGGCATCATTTTCATCTCTGTATAATAAAAATGGGTCACCGAAAAGTCTATGAATAGCAGTAGAAGATTGGTTGATATAGTGCTAGTAAAAGATGACACCAGAAAATCCCCAAACAGAAAAAAAAAGATGACACCCACAGATTAGAAGGAAGTAAAAATAAAACTGGATTAAAAAAAAAAACAACCCAACAAACAACTGAAGTATTACCTCCTCAAAGTAGTGTCTATGTTAGTGAAATGGATGGAGTGAACCCTTCAGTCAATTAAGTACATTCTTTTGCTGATGTGGAACAACCCAAAATGAGAGAAATGGCTATAAAAATCTGTTAATAACTGACACATTCAAAATACTAATCTAGGACAAGTGGAAGTTGTCAAAAGTGAAGTGGAGTGCATAAAGATAGATATCCTACGCATTTGTGAGCTGGAATGGATTGGTATTGCCACTTTGAATAAGACAAAGTGGCTTATTAGTAAAATAATTATTAATTTATTATTACATTTGGAAGCAGGAGTGGCTTCCACTTCCTAAATAACATGCCTCCGGAAACTCTATGAACTTGGTCAAATGTCGATAGCTGTAGAGGGGCTTCAGGCCTTTTGTTCATAGGGTCGCTGTGAGTCCCGCTCGACTTGAAGGCAATCAACAACAACATTATCATTGCACAATAATTTGGCCAACCCAGTTGCATAAAAATTTGCCTCTCAAGTGCTCACCATACTTTTTACCAAAGTTTACTTGGGTGAAAAGTAGGTGAATGATGAAGACTCTCACACATTATAATATTCCAAGTAATAGACAGAGTGCTAAATGCTCGAAGGTTTTTAGCTATTAATCAAAATATAAACTCTGAATTTGAAACCAAAGTCTGGGAAGACTTAATCTAAAGCAGGATGCAATTGCTAATTTATGCAGGAGAACAGGGCAAGATAGTTTTCCTATGGATGTTATAGGCTTCTAATATCAACTATGTTCACACAAATGCTCACTTAAATTTAGACTTAAGTCACTCATATGAAAAACAACAACAATGTGTGTAAGTTTTCTGTCAGCACAAGTTCTTGGCCTCACCCTGCACACACTCAGCATTTCCTCTCACCCTAATCTCACTGTTAGACGTGAGGCACAGAGTTTTACTGAGATTCAGAAGCATTTCCCCCTCACTGCACCTCTGGCAATGAGAATGGGCACCTACCACTTACATATGGAGACATTCTGAGTGTCACTAATTCTTGAGGGTGCTGACGTATGCAGGAAGCCAGTTAGGTGACAAGGAAGCAGGAAGATGAGCTTGCAGGCTGGTGCCTCTAACTACCCCTGCCTTTTTTTTTTTACTTTTTCTCTTTTCCTTAAGTCTCAGAAAGAGATGATGCATCTGATCAACTGTGATGCCACCCTAGATGATGCCACCCTTACATTCCTGACGCAGGCAAATTACTCATTCATTTGATGTTTATAAGTATTCTGACTATTGGTAACAACTGCTAACAGTGCAGGGCACGGAAAGGCCTCCTGTGAATGAGCCTGTTTTTCTCTCAACCCTTTTCATTTTCACACAGACTGAGATAGGCAGACCAAGGCAGGCTTAAATGCTGCCCCTTAAATGCAGACCACAGTGGGCTTAATGCTGGCCTTAAATGCAGACCATGGTGGGCTTAAATGCTGCCCCTTAAATGCAGACCACAGTGGGCTTAATGCTGGCCTTAAATGCAGACCATGGTGGGCTTAAATGTTGGCCTGTGTACCCAGAGTACTATGGACAGTTTCTTACCTAGGAGCTCACGCGTGTCCTCTGCTTACTACCTGGGGCCCCTCTGAGAACAGGGAAACACCAGCATAGGTCCTTCCCAAACCTGGTCCTAAAGGGATACTTGTAAAAAGAACTAGTGGTTGACACATAAAGTGAAACTCATTCGCTGTTCTGATTTCTAGTTACCATACCTGGATTGAGATCTTGGGGAGAGAGAGTTGTGAGCGGAGGAATGAGTGGACGAAGTAAGTCTAAAGGGGTCTCTCAGAGGCCACTGAGAGAATGCACTGGACCTGAACTAGAGGTTAGTGTGAGAAAGTAGGTGCCCTGAGGGGGCACAGGCCCTTATCTTCTCCTGTATCAGAGGTTCCACCCTGGAAAGTCCACTGTGCAGGAGGCCCAGAGAGCAAGGAGAAAAGGAAGAGAGGGACTAGAGCGGCAGATTGGTGCTGTCTATAAAGATACAGCAAGACCTGGGAAAGGACGACAACTAAGGAAGTCTATGAGATGACAATACGGTCATGGGATTGTTGAACAAGTGGGTAATTCCAGGAGCGTGGGGAGTTAATAAGAGAGGACACGTAAAAACACAGTTATAAGTTACAATTGTCAATGTATGCAGCTATGAAAACTTTCTCTTCAAATAATTCTTCAATTATACCTAAAGTACTTACCATGAATTGAATGAATAACAATTTTTTTTATATAGAGGTCTTTGCTTGGAGGGAGATTCCAATTGTAGTTATTTTTCACTTGGGCAAAATATTCAACATATCTACTCTGAAAAAATAATAGAAGTCTCAATATAAGTGGAGATGAAGTCTACTGTTTGAGTTTCTTTTAATTTACTTACCAACTCATAGCTGACCCTCCAATGGATTTGCAGAGGTAGTAAATCGCAAGGGAGGAGACTGCCCGTCCTTCTCCTGCGGAGCAGCTGGTGGGTTCAAACCTAGTGCCTTTGGGATTACAGTGCAGCTTATTACCACTAGGCCACCAGAGCTCCCTATACTGAATCAATTGGATTTTAAAATTCTCAGATTCTTCCTATCTCATTGGGAAGTGTTGGTAATTTTAACTGCTCTGCTTCTATTTGGAAAGGTCCATTCATTAGACAGGCTTCTCATTGGATGGCATGTGGTCTCCAATGCGGATCAGAAAGTGAGTTTATCTGAGAATTACAGCCTCACACAGAGGCACCTCAGCAGTGAGACCTAAACAAGGTTCTCAAGGCTGAGGCTGAACCTTGCATTACTGACCCGGTGAGTCAGAAGGAGGTGCCTGTCTGGGTTGAAAGTTAAATGATACGTGACCTTAGAAGAAGAATAGAAGGAATGATGTACCATGGACTGCTAGGAGAACAAACAAGTTCATCCTGGAGAGGGTGAAGCCAGGCTGCTCTTTGGAGGCAAGGACTCTGAAGCTCCGTCTGACATACTTTGGACATGTTACAAGGAGGGACCAGTCCTTGGAGAGGGACGTCATGCTTGGAAGGGTGGAGGGACAGTTTAGGAGAGGAAGACCCTCGATGCGATGAATTGACTCAGTGACTGGGGTAGTGGGGATAGGCATGTTGGAGACAATAAGATTGGCACGGGATAGACCAGGGTTTAGGGCTGTTGTACATAGGGTTGCTATGAGTTGCAGGTGACTCGACGGCACGTAACAACAACATCTAACATTCCCTTGACTTCTAGAACTAGATTCTTCACCTCCTAGTAAAGTTGTAACCCCACCACAGTCCTCACGCTGCTTTTGACCTCACTTTTTATTCTCCTACAGCGTAAACAGCAATGGCTTATAAAAATACCACTAAATTATATTGAGTATTTTCCACAAATAAGGTACCAAACTGGGTACTTTGGAATACAAAAAGGTAAAAAGATGGGTAAGTTATTGTTCCTGCCCTCCAAGGGGATATAGAAGATATCAAGTTGTGACTTTGAACAGTTAAATAATAATGTAAAGTGATTTAAGTCCCTAAGAGAAATATAAAGGGCTATAAGCACTGGAAAGTACGAAACTCCTTCAGAATGGGAAAGGAAGGAGATTCTGGGGAAAGGAGCCAACATGCGCAGGGCGTATGAACCGTTGACAGGCTCAGGGGAACAGTACAAGTCTGTTCAGATTAAAGTGAGGGATATAGAATTACAAATAGTGGAAGAAAAGCTGGGCAAATAAAATTGTAGAAGATCTTGACTGCCAGATGAAAACATCTGGATTTATCTACATTGGCAGTGGGGCCATTATGTTTTTTAGAATGGAGAAGGCACACTGAGAGCCGGGCTTCAGGAAGTGTTTTTGTTACTGTCAGCCTATGGCTGATGCCTGCCACTGCATCAAATACAATTCATAGTGACCCTATGCATTAGACCTGAACCCTGTCCTATCCTGTGCCATCAACATCTCTGACACTAAGTCCAGTGCTGTGATCACTGTGTTAATCCATCTCCTTGGGTGCTTTTTTTGCTTAGCTGTAGTGAAGAAGTATAGTGACTAACGTGTTCCTTTGTTCCAAACATAAAGCAGTTAGTTGTTGTTGATTGCTGTCAAGTCGAGCACAACTCATAATGACCCTATGAACAAAAAGACCTAAAGTCTTTCAATGACTATCGTCGTTTCTCAAAGTTCATAGAGTTCCCAGAAGCATGTTGTTTAGGAAGTGGATGCCACTTCTGCTTACAAACATGTCTTAATCTTGGAGCTTCACCAAACACTGTTCACCATGGGAAACCATTATGGCATTCAGCACCCCAATGGAAAAGAGTTCAGCATCACAGACACTGCAGGTTACCTCAGTAGAGCAAACTGACAGACCAGTGCTGCACCACTGAGAATATCCTCTAAATTATAATTACAGTTAAAAGTGGCCTGCAAATAAGGTCAAAGATTCACTTCTTTCTCAATTCCCATCATGGCTAAGTATGACAATTTCCATTTGAGCTCTTGATTAAAAAAGTTAATTTCTCTGAACCTCAAGAATACCAACAAGAATACCAATAGTGCCTAATGATAGGGTTGTTGAGAGTATAAAATGAACTAATGAACCCAAACCCCTTAGCATGGTTTGTAATGTGGTCTAGAATGTTATGACCCCTATGGGGCAAATGTCCTGGCTTTGTGAGAGCTTGCTTGGAGGTTCTAGCAGGAGAGAGCAGCTACTTGTACACCCTTGAATGAAGGACGGAGCTCCTTCCATTGGGAAAGGTCGTCCTCTTCAACCAAGCACACAGCTTTGAGAGGGACATGCACAGAGCTGTGAGGGAGGAAGGAGACACCGCCTAGCCAGTCAGATCAGCCAAAGCAACCTTGGTGATCAGTGGGGTAACGGATGCCAGGGGAAGGTCACCCTCACCTCCTGTTCTGGTCTCTTTAATAAACAAATCATAAGATATATAAAAAAAGCTAGAGGTGGCATCTTATAATTTTTACAGTAAGAATCTTAAGAAACATATCAAGTGAAATATGTGAACTTTGTTGTATCCTACTAAAATTTTAAAATTTAAATTTAAAAACAAAAATTCTTGAAAATCCTAATTTTCTCCTTCCTTCCTTTTTTGAATATTCTTCAGCAAGTTGAATCGACCCAGCAGAGAGTTATGGCAAATTTGTTTCCTCTCTACAGGGAAAGAAGAGATTGCTGACTATAAAATCTCCAGGGGTCTGGAATATATGGCTTTCACTTTTCCACTTCAGGAAGATTGTCGATTCAGGGACCCTGGACAAAATAACCAATAGGAAATGGGATACTGAGTGCTCCCAGTGTGGGCAGAGCCCAGTCCTCTCAAACCAGGTGCAGGTATCAGGCTCAGGGAGGGATCAAACCTCCTTGGCCATCACCAGGGCTCAAGCTGCTGCCCCCTGATCACCAAGGGAGAAGAGTCTGAAGTGAAATAAAATCATAAATGACACTCCTAGCCCATTCCCCCAAGGAATTATCCCTCCCATCTGAAATGAAAACTTACCTGGGAAGGTGTCTCTACTCCCTGAAATTTAGAACTAGTAGTTTTATCTGTTCTGCGTTCTCCAAAATAATTAAGGCTTTCCTATAGAAAAGGGGGGGAAATCCATTCATGGGTTCTTGTCCACTCTTTCCTTTCCTATGTAAGGCATTCGTAAAGTTCTGAAGGGCACACTATTTCTTGAGTATGTGTTCTTCAGGCAGAGTTGACCCAAAATAAAAATTATAATAGTAATAACTTTAAAACAAAGTTACTTTACAACCTGCTCTAATTTAAAGATTCATAAAGCACATAGAACATAAGAGTTGGAAAAAGCTTAAGGAATATCTCACACAGTCCTTCTTTCTACCTTTTCTACAAATGTGAAGATTGAGACCAAAAAAACCCCAAAGGATTTGTCGTATAAAGACACAGAAACTTATACATGAAGAACACAGGTCGCTTGGTTCTCAGCCTAGGCTCTTAATTAGAAGAGTTAAAACACTTTCTATCTTAATCTATGATCCACATTAATAAATACAGCAGATCTACACACGTACACACAGCTGTACATATAACTGAAAGAAAAGTTGTAGAAAACAATTCTAATCTATTCACCAAAAATTGTGATCGCAACCCTATACTGATTTTTCAATTCACTGATGATCATAATTCTTAGCTTGTAAAACACTGTCCTAAAGCAGAGTTTCCAAACCTTTATGTCTTAAGTCACACAGAAAAAGTATGATGGTAAAATTAGGAGGCTTGGGCACTGGGCCCAACTCATGATCTCTCACCCCCAGACCATCTGCCGAGTGAGGCATAAGACTGCTGGGTGTGAGCATGGGAAGGGCTAACCTCTCCTGAGGGCCATGGCAGAACGAGGACTGAAAACAGTGCTTTCAGAAATAAGCAGCCCATTCTCTCTCCTCAGATGCATAATAGCAAAATTAATTAGCCAAATTCTTCAAAAGGCTTGAATATCCTTAGAAGGTCTAATCTAGGCAAATGAAAAGTATTGCTTTCCAATTCAGAGCAAAGTCTCTCCTTGATTTTTTTTTTTTTAATAATCAAAACACATTCTAGACGTGGAACCTCTCTAAATGTCTGGGCAGACAGCATGGGCTCATCTACATTTGAAATCCATGGTTCTTCCTGCTCTGACCAGGGTGAGAAGAAACCATCTTTATTATTGAGACTTTTCTGCCCCCAAACTTGCAGACAAACTTGACATTATCTTGGCCTTACTGGCCTCATTCTAATTCTGTCTGACTCAGATCTTGGTTTTATTTAAAAATACTGCTTTGGTGTTCACTATGAATTCCCCTCCCCCCCATCTTTGTTTTTCAAGAATACTGTATGAACATGTGACTTATCTTGACTGTGGAGGTTTCTGGAGTTCCTTCCAATTTTGTGTTTGAGGTGATGCCTCCTCCTATCTTACCCTGAATGAGATGCACCCTGGTCGGCTCCCAACTAGTGCAAGTTAAAGTTATCAGCACTAGGTTTTTTGTTTTTGTTTTTGCTTTTTCTTTTCTTCTTCAAACATCTTAGAAACAATCTCTTCATCAGAGGAACCTGGAGCTTTGACTGAGATCAGCCCAGGCAGTAAAACACAGTAGCTGAAAATAATTTTGTCTGCTCCAAGTATGTATAAGAAACAAGGGGCATGACAAATAAAAAATAAAAAAAGACAGCAACCATATTGTCCTCTACAACCTAGGTTTTCAAACAGCTGCTCATCCAAGCGCAATGTCCGCTGAAGTGCCATTATTTTAAGAATCAACTTAATGTCTTAACAAACAAAGTCAATCTGCATAAGGAGGAGTCTATAGTAAAACATTGTCTACCTCTGCAGTTGCAAATATTCCACCAGCAATAAGGCAGGCACAAATCATAGTTCCAGTTCTCCCTAGAAAAGGAAAGAAATCAGTTCAAGGAATCATTGATAAAGTTAGTCTTTTAAAACCCTACGGTACCACTACACATCTATCTGGTAGCTAATATCTAGAAAGGCTGACAATTTCAAAGGCTGGTGAATTTTTTCAATTTGAAAAAATCTCATATAAATGTTTTAGGAAACACAGCATTTTGGAAAAGATGGCATTATATATTAAACTGAAGAATCTCTGTCCTAAGACATAGCAATTGTAGTCCAGGGCATATACTTAACAGAAATGAGGACACATGTACAAGAACTATGCATATTTTAGGTTGTTGTTGTGTATTGTCAAGTAGTCAGAACCAAGCCATAGCTCACCCTCCGGCAGGTTTTCTGAGGCAGCTGGTGGATTCAAACCACATGCCTTTGGGATTGCAGCACAGCTTCTTACTATTAGGCCACAAGAGCACCCTATTTCAAACATTATTATTTTATTATTTATACTAGTAAAACTTGAAATTAACTTAAAAGCAATAGGAAATAATATCCTATTTGAAGAAGCAATTTGTCTATGAACAAATCTAACAAAATCATTATAAAAAGAAGCATGAGCTATTATTGAAAGGCAGATAAGATGATTCAAATAAAAAAAGATATCCCCAGTACAATTCAATATTACAAAACTATGAATTATTATCAAGTTAGTCAGTTCCAACAAAAAGTCTAAGCATTTTATTGTGGAGCTTGACAAAATTATTTAAAAACTGTATAGAAAAGTTCCAAGAGAGACAAAGTAATCCTGAAATTATCAAGTTAAAAGGCAAAGATATAGAAACTGCACTAATAAACTTTAGAGAACTCTAATGCAGTCCCAAACATTTGTGGAAAATTGATATATGATTGAGAAAGAATTATGTCAATAGAAAATAAATGAGAATTTTAGGACAACTGGCTAATTCAAGTACATATTACTAACTGAAGAACAAATTCAAGTCTTGAGTTAAAATACGTAAGGTTGCTTTGGACAGAATATTAAATGATCCAGGAAGCATTAAAAGAAGATGGAAAGAGTATACAGAGTCACTGTACAAAAAGGAATTGGCAGACACAGAAAAATTTAATAAAACAACATATGAGCAAGAGCCTGTGGTGACAAAGGAAGAAGTTCAAGGTGCTCTGAAGGAATTGGCAAAAAACTAGGCCCTAGGAATTAACAGCATACCAATTGACATATTTCAACAAATAGACAACTGCCCTGGATGTCCTCATCCAGTTGTACCAAGAAATCTGGAGAAAAGCCACCTGGCCAAATGACTGAAAAAGATCCATATTTGTTCCCAAAGATGCCCTGACAGAGTGTGGAAGTTATTGAATAATATCATTAATATCACATGCAAGCAAGATTCTGCTGAAAATTATCCAAAAATTACTGGAACAGCACATCAATAGAAAACTGTCAGATGTGCAGGCTGGGTTTAGAAAAGGCCATGATACTAGGGATATTATAGCTAATGTTAGATGGATCTTGGATGCAAGCAGAGAGTATCAGAGGACTGTATATCTGTGTTTCATTGACTATGTAAAGGCATTTGACTGTGTGAACCACAACAAATTGTGGCTAACCTTGAGAAGAATATGAGAATCCCAGAACACTTGATTGTGCTTGTATGAAACCTATGCTTAGACCAAGAGCATCAGAACAGAGCAAGGAAACACTGCATGTTTCAAAACTGGAAAGGGTGTACACCAGGGATGTGTCCTATCTTCATTTCTTTTTCGTTTATATGTAGAACAGATCATCCGAGAGCCTGGGCTCTATGAAGAGGAATGTGGCATCAGGATAACCTGCATTATGCAGATGACACGACCTTGCTTGCTGAAACTGACGAAGACCTGAAGTGCTTGCTGCAGAAGGTCAAGGACTGCAGCCTCAAATAAGGATTGAAGCTCAGCATAAGGAAAACAAAGACTTTCAATACTGGGCTAATTTGCAGCATCATGAAAGAGAGTGAAGAGATTGAGATTGTTAACAGCTTCAGTTTGCTCGGTTCCACAATCAACACTCTTGGCACCAGTAGTCAGGAAATCAAAAGATGAATTGCACTGGGGAAAAAAAATCTACTGTCAGGGAACTCTCCAGAATACTGAAGAGCAACAATGTCAGTCTGGAAACCAAGGTGCGTCTGATTGAGGCCATGGTCTTCTCAGTCACTTGCTATGCATCAGAAAGCTGGACAATGACTAAGGATGAAAGAATGAGAATTGATGCCTTTGAGGTGTGGTGCTGTATTGAATATATTATGGACTGCTAGGAGAACAAACACATTCATCCAAGAGAGGGTGAGACCAAGATGCTCCTTGGAGGTAAGGATTCAGAAGCTTCATCTGACATACTTTGAAAATGTTTCAAGGAGGGACCAGTCCTTGGAGAGGACTTGGAAGGTGGAGGGACAGTGCAAGAGAGGAAGACCTTTGAAGAGATGGATTGACTCAGAAACTGTGGTAATGGGCGTAGGTGTGTCAGAGACAATAAGGTTGGCACAGGATAGAACAGGGTTCAGAGCTGTTGTACATAGGGTTGCTATGAGTTGCAAGCAACTCAGTGGCACATAACAACAACAACATAACTAACAAAAAAAATCAACATCCAGGCTATTTAAAGAAGCTATATAAGTCAACAATAGAATACTCTGTATATCATCATACAACTAGTTAGATGCAGGCATCAACCAACAAGAACAGCAATGTGAATATACACTTAAATGAAGAAGTTTCACTGGGACATACTGGCTGAACACCAGTCCTACAGACAGGCTTAAAAAAATCAATAGAGACATGAGAACTCAAGATAATTCAAGTTCCCTTCTGAGGAAAAAAATAAAATTTGCAATGAATGTTTTCAAGTAGAAATTTAGCTTTAATTAAAAAGAAAATGTTAAGCCAATCACTTGGATTAAAGTATTTTAGACTGAATCATGTAAAGTGTCACTTTTACAAACGTCAAAAGTAGCCAAATACTGGTGATATGATAAAGCCCAACCTTTGTCTTGTACATTCAGCCACTGTACCGCAAAAGGCCAGCGTATACAGATTATTCAACCTATGAAGCTAAACACAGAACTTGTCTATTAATTAGTGGGTTTGAAACTAGTACTTATACTAGGCTAATCCTCGATCCCACTGCATTAAAAAAGGCGGGCTGACTATGCCCTAGAAATCAATAGAAAACCTGTTTTGCAGTCCACACACTGTGACAGATATAAACTGACAAATTAAAAAAAAGAAGAAGAAATTACAGTAGTTAATGATGGTGTTGTTGTTGTTGTATACCATAGAGTCAGAACTGACCCATTGCTAATCCTCAAGTGGGTTTTCAGAGGCAGTTCATTGACTAGAAGGAGACTGCCCATCCCTCTCCCACAGAGAAGCTGGTGGAATAGATTTCAGGATTGCAGCACAACTTACTGCTCCTAGGGCCACCAGAGCTCCCTAATAACCTGCTTACCCTCTCCTTCAGTTCTTTCCTCGTTTCCATTCCTCTCACCCTCCTCCTTTCTACTCTATTTCTCTTCCTTCCTTGAATAATATTGAAAATGTTAACAGATAGTAAGAGTTACCAGATAACTAATATCAATCTGTACATTATTCATACACTTCAGGGCATCCGACACATTTCTTTACAAAAAGAAAAATAGTATTACCTTTTCCCCCTTTGCAGTGAATCACCACAATGTTTTCATCATGTTCAGCCAACCATTCATCTACTTCTTTTGTAAATGTCACCATCTCACTAAGGAAAAAGAGAAGACTTTTAGTTGAGTTAAAATAATGGAGGGGGGTGGGAATCCCCTGACCACCCCGATGTATTTAGTCCTTCACTCACGGCCAGTTTCTCTTCCGACTTACCTCAGAGTGGGCACGTTGTGATCGTCAATCATGATCCTACGCACTCTAGAATGAAAGCACTCAGGATTATAAGCACTTTCACCTAAAAGAAATGACATAAAAGTTCTAACTCTGGAACCTGAGAAACACCGTAAAGAATCAAATTATGAACCAGTTATCGTTTTATAATAGAAACACCATATCAAACGACAAAAGATTTCTGATGGCTCTTTTGCCATTAAAATGAAGTAAAAACAAACTAACTAGACCCTGGGCTGCTGAGTCGATTCCCCCCATGGTGACCCTCCACTGGGTTTCCAAGGATGTAAATCTTCATGAGAGATTTCCCATCTTTCTCTTATGAAGCAGCTCATGGTTTCCGGTGTAATACACTACACACTATGCCAGCCGTGTTCCCCAAAGGAAAGCAAGGGTCTCAAAACTTAGAATATCAGTGCTTGTTCTTCTCCAGTAATTTTATAACCACAATCCCAACTTATTTCAGCTTATTTAACAGACCTATTTGAACTGCCTAGAAGACTACTTATTATTTCTTGTTGGATGGTTAGAAACCATGAACAGAAGCAAATGTGGTTGTCCGAAACACTTGTCCACTCAATCTTCTCAAACTATCTCTTTAAAAACATGCAGGGAGGAAGGAAAGAGAGAACAGACAGAAGTAAGATGGAGGTCCACTCTGGTTTTTACTGGGTGGTTTTTTCCATATAGAGTCCTATTTTCATAATCAAATACTAATTGGTTAGAGTGTACATATGTTCGATGTCTTTGTTTACTTAAAACACAATCTGGTAGGAAAACCAGAAAAAAATTTTCCAAATCTAAGGATTTTGAAGCTTCATCCCACATACTTTGGGCATGTTGCCAGGAGGGACCAGTCCTTGGAGAAGGACATCATTCTTGTAAAGGTAGAGGGACAGTGCAGGAGAAGAAGATCCTTGATGAGATGCAGTGACACAGTAACCAGGGCAATGGGGGTGGGTGGTTCAGAGACAGTGAGAGTGGCTCAGGATAGACAAGGTTCAGAGCTATAGAGTCACGATGGGTCACAGGTTACTTGATGACACAGACCACCACCACTAAGGCAGAATGTCCCTAAAATTATTTCACTCGAGTGTCTTTGATCATGGCAGGTTCTTAGCATTCTCCCTACAGGATACTTTCTGTATTGGCCCAAGCTTGCCTAACAAATGGTATACCACTAAATTCTTACGATTAAATGAGATGTAAAACAGAATAATCCTCTAATATATGGTGATCTGTTTTCTATTTGAAGTAGCAAAGTATCTAGTTATGTACATACTGCATAGATTGTAGATCATATAATGGTCTCGATGTTTGGTATCCAGGAATCGTACAACTTCCTAAAAAGATAGACATGTATCTTATATATCCACATGGCGCCAAGAGCAGTAATTTCTTAGGATTAATGTAAAATAGTTACTATCTTTAATTCATGTCTCTCACTTAGCACCTTCTAGGAACAAGAGTCAGCATTATGATCAATGGAGAAAGGACTGAAGCCGTCATTGATTCAATCTCTTGGATCAACAATAAATACCCTTAGTACCAACTATCAGGAAATCAGGTGATGGATTGTACTGGGGAAGCCTCCTATCAAGGACCTTTCAAAAATGCTGTAGAGCATGATGTCAGTTGAAGAGTAAGGTGCACCTGATTCAGGCCACCGTTTTCTCAATCACTTGTTACACATCAGAGAGTGAGACAATGACTAAGGATGACAGAATAATTGAAGTTTTGAGTTGCGGTGTTGGAGAAGAGTACTGAATAACCCATGGACTGTCAGAAGAACAAGTAGATATATACCTTGGGAAAAATGCTGCCAGAGTGCTCCTTGGAGGCAAAGATGGCTACGCTTCATCTTTCATACTTTGGACTAGGCGACTCTATTCCTTGCAAAGGAATATCGTGCTTGGAAAGGTAGAGGGTCAGAGAGAGAAGAATACTCCAGATGAGATGGACTGACACAGTGACTTCAGCAAGGGGTCCTCGTGTGTCAGAGATGATGGGGATGGCACAGGATAAGGCAGGGTTCAGCTCAGCTGTTCATAAGGTAGCTGTGAGCTGTACTCAGACAGCACCTAACAAAAACATACAACAGCAAAGGAACTCCAGATTGGACAGCAGTCAGATCATAGGGTTGCTATGAGTCATACTCAGCCTGGTAGCACCTACAAACAAAAAGGGAACTCCTGGTGTGGTCGACAGGGAGCTGTGCTGCCCATTCAAAGGTGACCTCATCACAATTAGACCTGGTTGCCTAGTCTACAGGGAGCTGTGTGTCAACCCACAGGCACAGTCACCTCTCCAGCAACAGAATCCACTAGCAAATCCACGGGAGAAACACGGGCAATCTCCTCCTCCTGCTGGAGGGTCAGTTATCCGTCGGTTGTGACTCAACAGCAACAAACTTGAGTTACTTTTAGGCTTTTTGTGAGGAGTGATTCAGGAAATATCAAAGTATGTTTATTCCATATCATGTGTAACCCAGGTTTTCAACTAGCCTACAAACTGTACATGGTTATTCTGATTAACCTTGATCCTAAATAAACACTGATAAAAGTCACTGAGTGGCAGTCAGCTCCATGACACATAACAACAACAACAACAAAGGTCATGAAGAAGAAAATCAGATGGCAAACTAGATTGAAACCCATTTGTTCCATCTGATTAATTCATGGTACTATCTGGTATGTTATGCATCAGAGAGTTGAACAATGACTAGGGAGGATAGAATTGATGCCTTTGAACTGTGGTGCTGGAGAAAAGTATTGAATGTACCATGGGCTGCCAAGAAAACAAACAGATACATCCTGGAGAGGATTTAAACCAAGCTACTCCTTGGAGGCAAGGATTCTGGGGCTTTGTCTGACATACTTTGGACATGTTGTAAGGAGAGACAGGTCTTTAGAGAGGGACATATGCTGGGTAGAGTGGAGGGACTAGGGAGGATAGAAGGAGAATTGATGCCTTTGAGCTGAGGTGCTGGAGGAGAGTATTGAATGTACCATGGACTGCCAAGAAAACAAACAGATTCATCCTGGAGAGGGTTAAACCAGGCTGCTCCTTGAAGGCAAGGATT